AGCATCTGACAACAAGCATCGCCAGTGGCTGCGACAGCAAAGAAAGCGGCGGGCTAACCGAGGTCGCTAGGGGGTGCTCAGGGGTAGAGCCTTTGAATGTCTAGAGTATCACTTAAGAAACATGGATGCGAATGACCCAGAGCTGCCGGTGCTCACACTAGTAAATGTTAGATTAGGGGCTCCGGTATCAATTCTGATCGTTGATTTCACAATATGATTGCTTCTGGAGTATCTGGTGCGTGACGGATAGTGCTTGTATGTAACGACTGACTAATATCATACACTGCTCAACCCCTTTGATTCTTGTTTCTATTAACTCCACCTCACCTCCAACCCCCCCTCCTCTCCTTCAACTCCCTGTCGCTTCCTCCAGCTTTCCTTGGTCTCCAACTCTGCCTCACCGCCCCCCGCAAAGCTAAGCCTGGCACTCAGGGGTAAAACACATTGAACGTGTCCACCGGTGCGCCTGACTGCCTGATTCCTCCGCCAGGGATATACACCCCACCACCGATGGCAGCCGCATAAGTGCCGTGCCTCGGGACGTCCATCTTGCCCAGCTCCTCCCACGTATCCGTCTTCGTATCGTAGGCCTCAACCTGGTCAAACACACCCTCGCTGCCCTCCGCCGGGTTGCCCTCCCCACCAAAAACATACACCTTCCCGCCCACCGCACCTGCACACACCCCTCCCCTCGGAGTCGGCATCCGCCCCTCCTTCGTCACCCAACCCTCCTCCAACCTCCCCAAATCCAACGCAAACACATCCCCCCTCACATTCACCTGCCCACCATCCCTCCCCCCAGCACATACATCACCCCCTCCACAACCGCCACCCCAGCATGATCCCTCCGTCCCGGCAACCTCCTCACCCCCTCCGGCAGCAACCCCCCCACCACCCACTCCCCAACCCTCGCATCAAACACACTCACCTCATCCACGCTCTCCGGCCCGCCATGCCCCTCCACCAGCGGCAGCTGCGTCATCCCCCCGGCAAGAACCACCCTCCCGGTCCGCTCATCCACCCCCACCGCCGCACTGCCCCTCGCCACGCCCGGCATATCCGGCAGCGCGGTCCAGGCATCCTCCCCAAAATCATAGACCCAGCAGCGGGGCGTGGCGCGCCAGACGCCGTCGCCGCCTTGGTCGTGCAGGCCGCCGAGCAGGTAGAGGCGTCCCGCGACGACGGCGGCGTTGGGGTGGTTGAGGGGGATGGGGAGGGGGGGAGAGGGGTGGGGTGCCAGGTGTTGGTGAGGGTGTTGTAGAGTTGGAGGAGCGGGGTGGTGGCGAAGAGGGAGGGGGTGGTGGTGGGGACGATGCCGCCTAGGATGGCGAGGTGGGTTGCGTTGAGGGCGAGGGTCGTGTCTATATATGTGAGGGGGGTGTTAGGGGGTGCTTTTGTCTTTTTGTCTTTTGTTTTTGTTTTTGTTTTTGGAGGAGGGAGGGAGGAGGGGGACGTACGCTCTTGACGGGGGTTTCGGGGGATGGGCGCGAGGGTCTTCCAATGCGGGCGGTGAGGGCCGCAGGGCTTTCCTGAGACGAGGGCGCCTTGGAGAACGGCCAGGAGGCCGAGGGCGTGGGCGGTGAACTTCATGGTGTTTCTGGGATGGAGTACGGTGTGTAGAGATCTTCTTGTGATGTTCTCTGGCTTTGAAATGGCTGAATGAGTAAAGGTGGCGCCATGATATAGGTTATATACTCGTCATAAATCATAGATGGATGATATGATCATCACATTATCTACTGTCACATTGTTTGGTGTCACATTGTGCCGTGCCTAGAGGGATCATTTGCCAAATCTGTTCTCCCGTCTATGATCCGGGACCGTGCGGATTGATCGGACGGTTTGGTTGGGCCGTTGACCATGGCACTGCCGTATGCTTGTCAACCTTCTATTCGTCCTTGTCTAGTTTGGTGAGCATTGGCGTTGGCGCGGCGGGGAGAATCTCATCCGAACCGGGATTGTTACGCGCGTCCTTAGTCATGACAGAGCTGGTGGGCACGGCATAATTGGCCCGAAAGGATCAATTCCCATGCGAGATTTGAGTGCACTGCCGGTAGTGACAACGCCGACTTGCCGACATCTGTGGCGCAGCATTAAGTCCGAGCGATCATTGTGTAGTGGCACGGTGGAATCGCAGTGCTTGGGGAGACCAATCAGACAATTGATTCTTAGAAGCCTCAATAAGTTAGCATCCCCTATCCAACGGCGGCCTGGTCATTTCCAAATTTGCAATGTCTCGACGGTCCGATGTCGAAGAAGAGTCCCGAAACTGAATCTCCGACTCGGTTACGGGACTTAGCCTCTTAAGGTCCCCCTTATTCCACCTTTCCGTTCTTCAGCGCGCCCGCTTTGGCCCGGCCGCCACCAACTGTTGGGTTCCTCGCCAGCTTGTTCTCTCCATTGTTGATCAAAAACTGTGCCAGCAAGATCTCGTCGTCGCTCTTGACCTTGACATCCGGAATACCGAAGAACTTGGCCTCAATGGCCTCGTACCCGATGCTCATCTCAAAATACCCACGGTAGTACAGATCCTGCCACTGCAGCTCGGGGTTCTTGCTGACCAGCCACTGGGAGAGCGGGTTCGTCAAGAACTTGGGCAGGGCGCCTACTGGGCTGGAGCTCGACACCGCGGTGCCCGCCAGTTCGACGCCGAACGCGCCCTCGCCGGTCGTCTCGTCGTAGTCCCTCTTCCCGAGCCAGGCCAGGTCCGACACCCACGCGGCATGCGAATCCCCCGACAGCATGACCGTGTTGTTGATCTTGCCGTCCGCCAGGTGCTGGTACACCCTGTCCCTGTTGGCGAGATAGCCGTCCCACTGGTCGCGGTTGAACGGGGTATCCCCCAGAAGGCCCAGCGTCATCCTGCTGAAGATGACCTGGTTCCCGACCACGCGCCAGGCGGCGCCGCGTTCCGAGGACTGCGTCAGCTGGTCGTAGAACCACGCCTCCTGCTTGAAGCCCATGATGGTCCGGTTCTGCAGATCCACCAGCTTCTCCACCTCCTGGCTATTCCCGCCGATGCCCGCCAGCCCGTTCAGCACGGTCAAGTCGCGGTCATACTGGCGCGTGTCCAACATCATCAAATCCAACAGGGTGCCGAGCGAGAAGCTGCGCCAGATGCGCAGGCTGTCGTCCATGTCGGCCTGGCGGAGGGGCATCCACTCAAAGTAGGCGCGGACGGCGGCCTGCTTGCGGGCGCGGAAGACGGCGCCGTCCGAGTTGCTGGAGCCGTTGCGCCACGCGTTGTTGGCCACCTCGTGGTCGTCCCACACGGGGATCCAGGCGAACTTGGCGTGCGACGCGAGCAGGTCGGGGTCGGTGCGGTACGACCCCAGCCGCGTCCGGTAGTCGAACAGCGTGTAGATCTCCCGGTCCGGCTGCGGGTTGCGGCCCTTGAGGGACGAGTCCGGCTTGTACTCGTAGATGTAGTCGCCGAGATGCAGCACGTAGTCGACAGAGTCTTTGTGGACCGGGTTGGCGTAGGCGTTGAAGTAGCCCTCGGCTGGGTCATGTTAGGGGTTGGGTATGTTGGGAGGGGGTGCAAAGTGACTTACGGTAGTTGCTGCACGAGTAAACCGCGAGGTTGATATTCCTATCGACCTTTTGGGTCTTGGCCGGGATGGTCTTGGTCCGGCCGAGGGGGCTGACCTTGTCCGAGTCGCAGACGTTGAATTGGTAGTAGTAGGTTGTGAAGGGTTGGAGACCGCTGGCTTCGAACTGCAAAGTATTAGCAGATTTCGTGTATATCAAGACGACGTGTTGAGACTCACCTTAACCGTGTAGTCCACATCACTGCTTGTGAAAGCCCGCCCCTGGTCAACCACGTTGGCTAGAGCCAGGTCCGTGGCGATTTTGAATTCGACGCAGGCGGCCTTCGTAGATGGCGGAGCACCCTCCGAGCCATCGTAGATGGGCACCACACCACCAGGTACTATGTCCGAGGCAACACTCTCAGCCGTCGGGGCCAGGCGCGTCCACAGGATGACCGAGTCGGCATAGGGGTCGCCGGATGCAACACCGTGAGTGAAGTTGACTTCGGCCGCTGTGTAAACTTGGCCAGTTTGCCGCTTGGATACATGAGAAAGAGGGACTGCCAGGCTCGGATGGCGCCGTGAGGGACTGCTGTAAGCAAGGTTCCTCTCGAATGAGGCCTCGACGAGCGAGGCGGCCACAAGGGCCCCCAGGCTCCAACGGTGTAGCATGGCCGGGAATTGACGTCTGGTTTGGAGACCTTGACCGTCTGGTTATGGTGGGAGTTGACTCAGTTAAGCTGGAGCACCGTGAGCTGTGCCTAGCTGATGGCTGCCCTGGCCTCTGGTTCCTCTCCCATCTTTTAAAAAAAGATCAGGCCGTCGCTAAGCAGACCTCGGGATTTCCAAACCCACAGTTCGGCCGGCGGCGGCGTTGCTGTCATGCTCTGGAAGAGTGACATGGGCGAATGCACGTGGGGCTGCTTCAAGCCAATCCCGAGTCGCCGATTCGCAACATGCTCTCCGATCCGAAAGAGCCTTGGCCACCGGGCACATGCATGATGATGCAGGCTTGTTTGTTGCGGGCCTTGCCGAGTACCACTTAACAAAATCGTCCTCGGTCAAGGACCGTCTGGGTCAATTCAACCGAGCGGCCCCCATCTTCCTCTCAGTGGTCGGGGTCAGCGCTTGCTTAGAGGGGTTAGAGCAGTTAACGTAAACTACCGTGACTTCCCGCGCTGCACGATGCGCCCTGCTTGCTCCTCGTGGCAGAAAACATCAAGAGTTTAAACCAAGTAAAATCCTCGGTTAGGAAGGGATCTCATTAGTTATTTAGGATCTCCCCTTGTGTTTCTTTGGCAAGACGCGGTTGGCAGGGTGTTGTTGAAGGGGAGTTGCGGTCAACAAAATGCTGGTGGATGTGACTGAGGAATAAGGTTGGCCCAAAAAAAAGAGAGAGGCAGCTGAAAATAAAGAACGTCATGAGAGACGCGTAGACAGTGTTACTGCGGGGATTGCAGGGCAAAAGTGTGGGCGACCCCGGAATCGAACCGGGGTTTCTTCGGATTCGTGTTTTACCACAACGAAACGTCCTGACCACTAGACTAGTCACCCTTTGGTGCATATTTCCGGCCAATTTGCAGCCTAAGACAGTGGTCCCACGGCAGCGGGGCAATTACTTCACCTGCAACACACTCATCAGGATGTCTCAAAGGAAAAGAAAGAAAAAAAAAAAGATCGGACGTCCGCAACTCATCGGTTGCCCTCATCTCATTTTCTAATCGTGATACGTGCCTCTTTTTGAGGCTTGGCAAAGCACCCATCGCCCGCACCGCCCTCCAACTGCGATGCGAGTCCCTTCCCGTCTCCCAGTCCCCTCAACAACAAAAACAGGCACACAAAACTCTCCCGACTAGGTACCTAACCCCAACCCCAAAACAAGATCACCAACTGACAACCACCCCAAACCAAATCCCAACCCACCCTCCAAAGCACCATGTAGCTAAAAACCTCCCTCACCAGACTCACCACTCCCAAACCCACCCCTCCATCTCCCCCCTCCCCGTCGGCAACTCCCACATCCCCGCCCCACCAGCACTCCCACCAACACCACCCCCACCAAACCGCACCACCCCCCTCCCAGGCCCCAACACCCTCCCCAGCGCAGTCACCAGCACCACAACCATGCGCTCGCCAAACGCGCCGCCCGCCGCCGGGCACTTGTGCGGCTTGACCGAGAAGGGCACATACGCCTGGCGCTGCGCGGCCGTGAGCTTGGCGGCGTCGAACCGCGCGGGGCGGAAGCGCGCCGCGTCGCGGCCCCAGATGTGCACGTGCCGGTGCAGGCCGGCGAGGTCCACTGCGACGGTGGTGGTGGCGGTGGGCACGCCGGCGCGGTAGAGGTGTTTGTTGGAGGGGTAGAGGCGGAGGCCTTCCTGTGATGGGGGGGGGGGGGAAGGGGGGTTAGTGATGGGTGGTGGTGGTGGTGAGAGGGTGGAAAGAGGGGGGGGGTACCTTGGCGAGTTTGAGGGCCTCCTTCTCGCGCGCTGGGTCGCCCAGGCAACTGGGGACGTTGGTTGTTCGCTGGACGGTGTCTGGGTAGGCGGCGGGCTGGTGGTGGTATGCCGTGACAAAGGTCAGCAGCACCACGCGCCAGAGCGTTTCGTACTGCGGCATGAGGAGGCCGAGGACCTCGGTCGGGAGCAGCGCGGTCTGTTCTGCCCCTTGGGTTGACGAGGTGATGTTCAGCGACGCGATGGCTGAGTTGAGGCGCTCTGACGGCGTGACATCGGTGCGGTGGCTCTTGGAGCGCAGCCACTGCCTGTTGATCTCGGCCGTGATGGTGGCCAGGTCGGACCGGGGGATGGTGGTCGTGTCGATGCCGAAGCTGTCGAAGAGGACCACCGCGAGGACCATGCAGCGGATGGACTCGGCCAGAGGCAGACTTCGCTTCGCAGCGGTTTCGATTTCGGCCTCGAGGAAGGCTTTGGCGATGCCGTAGAGCACCTCCCAATCGCGCCCCCGCCTGTTCAAGACCCGGGACGCCGTCTTGAGGAAGGCTTGGTGGACCGAGGGTGAGGTAGTTGTCAGGGAATTGTGGATGCCGAATGCTACCTTCAGACGATGGTTCTCTTTGGCGCGCAGAAGGAGGCGTGCTTGCAGATCATCTTGAAGTGTTGGGGCGTAGTGGAAATTGGCCACGTCTAACTGCTCACGCACCCACATCTGGACTCGCCAGGTCTGCCATTTCTGGAGGCAGAGAGGGACCAGAAACACGAAGACCGCAAGCGCCAACATGGAGCCAAACAAGATAGGTAATGCCATGAGCGCAGTTGACTTAGATAGGTATCAGGGAAGCTCAGCGTGGTTGCTCTGTGGAGAAGGGAGAAGACTGGTAATGATCCCCATCGCCTGGTTGACTTTATATGCCTTCTCTTCTACTCAATCTTCTTTGCTTCCTTCAACCCTCCAACTTCTAGAATGAGCCATGGAGATGGCGACACGATTCGATGCGGTTCACTGCATTGTAGGCCTCTCCCTTTCCCAACTGCCCGCGGTATTGGCTGGTGGCCCATCGCTTCGTTTGCTATGGTTGGATTCACAATCGATCTTAGCTCTTATTAGTCGGTCTTTCAGCGTGGGTGCGGTATGCCTGTGGTTTCTTTTGGCGAGCTTACTGGCGAGTTGTGAACTTGACATACGTCTAGAATATTCTTGATTTTGAGCCAGCATGTTTGGGCAACAAAGGTTCGGTTCATCATCCTGTCTTTCAAAGGATGTGAATGATGTGCCGAATCGCGGGTCCACGTTTCCCACGCATTGCAATCCGGGGAAAGAACCCGAGCAAACAGAGAGTGCAGGGATGCTACGCACAACGACCCCTAGCTGTTCGGCATCCTACAGTATCGAGCGGGAAGTGGGCATATCGGGCATAGAAGATCTGACATCTCACTCCAGCTTCTAGCAACTTTGCATAATTTTCGAACGCAATGCGGGCCGTCGCAGAGTCCCGAGGGCTGTTTGCCGGCGAAGCACTCCCTCGAAAGAACTGGAAACGAGATGCAATTGTTGAACTGCAGCGGTTCGTTCCTTTGTCATGTCATGAGATCGTGGGTTGGGCTGAGCAAACCGCATCCGAATGGAGCCACGAGTCACGACCCAGCCTCCCATTCCTTATCCGCCCAGTAAAGAGCAGGGGCAGGCTTTGGTCGTGCCAACACCGGTAATTCCATGGATTCCGATAGGCTTACATGTCTGCATGTTTCGGGGGTGCAGTAGACAGAAGTTGGGCAGTGATCATTGGCAAGGTAATATCGAACAAAGGGCGACTGGCCAGGTAGGTTGTAACTAACATTCTGCTTTTTCATTTGCATATCATTGAGGTTCCTATAAGCTTTGGGTGCCTTAGTTTGCAGATGCACAAAGTGAGTGCCTTTTCCCTCCGATTTTCGTCAGTGTTTTTCAGCTTCTGAAACTTTGGGCTTGTGCCCGTGTTTATAACAACTAGTGGTTGTTGTTGCGGTGGCCAACCCTGAAGGGAAGCAAAGACCTTTTACTTGGAGGTTAAGTCAAACTTGGTTTGAAGCCTTGGACAACATGCAAGCAACATGAAGGTCGTACAATAAAAGGCTGTCAAGATGGACAATGCACTCTACATCAGCTCCCTTCTGCGGCCGTGAACTCGACTGGCCCCCTGGCCCCCTGGCGGAAACGACCACGAGGTCAAAGTGTGATGCTGAGCCTACAACCGGGTTGGGAAGGACATGGCAACACAAGGCCCATGCCCTTAGAGCATACTATCTAAGTATGCCGCTAGCGGTTGCTGTCGGTCCTCGGCCAGGAGGCGGTCGAGTCCCGGAACCTGGTAGGGAGTGTTGCTGAAAGCTGGGTCTGGCTTTTGTCAATTCCGAGACTTCGTATCGAGCTTCCCATGGGGAGTGGCAGCGTTGTCGACGACAACAGCGCCGCCAAAATCGTGGCCTAGGTATGAGCGTGATACTTGCGCGGAACAGGAAGCGAGCTGCACACGTCGAACAAGCTTTGGAGCGAGACCAAGCCTGAGGCTGGCTGCAACGCTGCTTCCAGCTGGCTACAGCACGCATCGTGGAAGGCGATACCGTGCCTGCGTCTGGAATCCCGGTAGGGCAAGGCGGCAAAGTTGTTGTCGTCGGATGGCTCGAATCCAGCATCGCTCCAGCGTATGTCCTTGTGGAAGCCGCCCGACCTTGGGCCATCGCAAATGCCAACCCCATTGAGCAGCAGATCGTCGGGAGTGTAGGACCGCGGCCGCATCAGCGGGGGAGAAGCGCAAAACGGGGAAGAAATGATGCGAGAGACCGAAGACTGCCCGACGGGCGCGAACCTGGTTTGCGCACCGCGTCTCGGAAAGGGAAGGAGGCGAAGGAGCAATATGGTTGCAATTTCTCAGACCTGATTAATGGTGCCATCTATTAACAGGATGTGATGCTAGTGAAGAGTAACTCAAATAAAGCGTCATCGTAACTGCCCCGCATTGCTCATATTACGACATCACCAAGAGCCCAAAGTAGGTAGGTGTTCCGCCTACCCTTGGGGGCATAGCGTCACCACCACCTTAACTCGCCATAACCACCACCACCTTAATAGCCGCTACCACCGCCACTTTGTTGGTAGCCACCGCTGTTATAGCCACCTTGGTAGCCACCGCCTTGGTAGCCACCACCGCCAAACCCACCGCCACCGCTGGGGCGGGCATTGGCTAGATTGACCCTGATCTTTCTGCCATCAAGCCTAAAGCATTACACAATATGGTTAGCCCCCGTTGATCAAATAGATGTGTTTTCGCTGCGGAGAAGACTTACTCCTGCTCATTCAAGGCCTGAATTGCGCCGTTGGCTTCATCCTCACTGCTGAACGTGACAAATCCGAACCCACGGCTCCGGCCAGTATCTCTGTCTCTCATGACTATCTGCTTGATGTCAGCATCCGTTAACTAAGGGGTAGAACAAGCTCAACGTACGGAGTCGGTAACTTGGCCATGCTGCTCGAAGGCGACTCTCAGGGAGTCATCGGTGGTGTTCCACGAGAGGTTTCTAGTTTGAGGCTCAGCAAATGGATTGATTGGGTATTGATTCTTCGATTAAATTATCGCAGATCATAATTACCCGACGTAGAGTTTGGTTGACATGATGGACGAAGTGCTGTCGCTGAACTGCGGTACTGGATTTGTGTGGGTGCGATGGAGTGAGGGGGTTTTGGGTCTGAAAGAAAAAATGGCGAGGCGGGGTATCGATATTTATTTTGGATCATCGCAGCCAGTTCCTGCTGTATGTATAGGACTGTACTGTGTAGATGTGCGCGTATCTGTAGGTACCTTGATGGTGTCCCACGTCGCTTCCTGATTCGGCCGCGGTCACGTCTCCAAGGCGGCGGCCCCCCAATTAACACTGGAGAAAATTACGATCCTGACGTATCAGCAAGCACTTGTTATCCATTATTCAATTCCACTTCGTTAATTATTCTGTGCGAGCGATATCCATGGATAATATTATCTGGAGAAGGCAGACTCTTGGCGCGGCGATGAACCCTGCGTTGTCAACGCACCCCGCACCGGACTCATACAGAAGGAGGTACTT